TTCCAAATAAACTATATAAACCAAACAATTGGTCCTTCGAGCCGGATGTCGATGTCGATGAAAGTTGACTCAGATGTAGAATATAGACTCGAAGAATACATAGACTACTTACTAATTTTTTTAATCCGCGAAACGGAGTCGCGGGTGACACCTAATATAAATGACATTGACTTATCAATATGAATTAACGAGAGCGGGTGAATGTAGTTATATCGTATCCTAAAAGTCATCAACCTTAGCTCGTCTTGCATATTATTATCTTGACATTGATAAATTAATAAAAATAAAAATAGACTAAAAATATAATCGGAACTTTTGTTCTTCAGCGGAATCGTTTGAACGTATTTTTATTTTTAGAATTAAAAACAAAATCATCCATGAGCCGTTCTGGCGATATTTTCTTACAAGTAAGGTGTAATTTTTATGGTTTCATAATCTAGAACGTTCTATTGCGTTATTTCAATCATCAATCTCTCCTTAATCACAATTTTTGGATAGCTTGTCTACCATGAAATGTCATGGCCGCGCCCCCGTATGCTCCCCGCTCACGTTGACCCAAATTAGTTGAGAGACGAGTCAGTTCAAACGATTTTTATAGTCACTATTCCAGCTGCCAACTTTCGTTCTTGGAACTGAAATTGTCCTTAGAGATACTGTAATTTGTAAAAGGCCAATAATAAAACTTACTAAAATAAAAATGTCTTTCGTAACGTCTTTTTATCAAAAGTAAACAATCTGTATTCACAAATATATCGTTTAGTATTTTAAATATTTTATTTTAACGATATGAATTAAGTATAAAAATAAAAAAAAACCTGTTTTCTTTCGATAATAAAAGCCGGAAGTAAAAGCAACGGATTCGGTACTAAAATATTTACGCGCTTGAAATTACAGCGCTCTGCGGCGTTGGGTTTGCTTTTAGTATTTTATTGTGACTACAATTTTGTATATTTCGTATTTTAGTTTCACTCTCAACTAAAAAGATGTTTAAACGTAAATAACATTTTAAAATAACTTTTATAAAAACGATGTTAAATGTCTAAAACACATTGGAATAAAAAGACAATTTTTATAGCCTCCAATTGAATATTTTTCCTTGATCTTTTTTGTTAGTCCCTTGATCTTCGGATGGCACGGCTCTTGTCTAAGTACAGAATTCGCTCACAAAAACAACGCAAATAGGTAAACGAGGTGCATAATGTAGTAACCTATTTTTTTTTTTACATTAAAAAGATTAAGGGCTAGTCCCACCACTGGCTGATAGAGGCTCAGATAGATTAAAAATAACGTCACTGTCAGATAAGAGCACAAAATCCGATATTTCCATCGCATATTTTACAAGTTCGATTGTAATCAGAAAATTTAGAATTTGGTAGTACTGACAGTGATGAGCCAAATTTGCAGCGGTGGGACATTAACATCTTTAAAGCATTTTATATTCGCTTCATTGTTAATTAAAATATTACATTTTGATTAGAGTAATTAAGAATTCTCTTTTACGAGCCTTACTTTCCTTATTAAATTGTAAATTTTAAGAGCCTCAATGTCCGCAGGAAACAAGGAGTCCGGAACCGCCAACAGCAGTAATTATAATTAAAGCTTAACGGTATTTAATAAAAAAGCCTCAATTGTAGCCAATAACACTAATTTACGAGAGAAATATTAATTAGAGAGGTGGAGAAGATAAGATAATTTTCTATACTAATATTATAAAGAAAGATTTGTATTTTTGTATGTATGGAAATAACTCTAAAAGTACAGGACCGATTTCAAAAATTCCTTCACCATTAAAAAGCTACATTATCGCTGAGTAACATAGGCTATATTTTTAAATTTCACACAGACGAAGACGCCAGCAACAGCTAGTATTAAATATCTAAGTAGGTTATTTAATGTAACGCTCGTTACATTATAACTTAATAACTTCTCAAATGATTAGCATTATCTAATTATATTAAACATAAAATTGTAAATAAAAAAACAAAAAAATTAGAATTCTATCATCTACTAATAATCACAACCTTGATACCAACTATTTGAACCGATAGAGATTTTCTTTTTGTTTTCTTTTGTTTCTTTATTTTTTTAGGTACTTCGGTTCATTACACCATGCCAGTCCCATAATACCTTATACAACCTAAACCGTAAAGATTTTATTTAATAGCGTTAATACTTGTGGTACAATATTGATTACTTGGAATGTGCGCCATGTCGCCTTCGAGGCACATTTTCAACGCCGAATTCCTTTTTGCAACATAATACTGAATAGATACATAATGTTTGGCACTTTAGTTAAGCATCGAATATCTGTTTACGATTTTCTATATTCTGTCATGTGTTCGCTTAAATATCGATAACTTTATATTATCTATCTTTAGTTTACACTGCCTAAACGCTGTGGGAAAACATAATTTTGTCTCTGTTTAATTAAAGAGATAAACTGAGATATATAGCAATTTATTTTAGAAACAGTTTTTTCGAAACATAAAATCATTACAAATAGCAAAATGAACAATAATGTCCACAAACATATTCTTTAATACACTTTATTAATTAATAGCTTTCGACCGTGAGTACGTCAGCGTTGAAAAAAAAAACAAAAAACAAAAGTGAGTAGCCTATGTATGTGTTCTTCCAGACTATCCTCCACGTCTATGCCAAATTTCATCCAGATCTGTTCAGCCGTTTAGGCTACAACTAACAAACATCCATCAATATAAACTTTCGCATTAATACTATTAGTAAGAAGATTTTATTCATAAAATAGTTTACAGTGCAGTTGTCTGTTAACTTAATTACGCAAACACATATTAACAGAAATAATAAATTTTATCATAGTTCACATACGAAGGTAAAATAATGTTATTCTGCGACACTTATATAAACTAAAACACCTCTATACATACACTGACTGAGATCACGTATGATAGAGTTATGTGGAGGACTAAAATCTGTTGTGCCCACCCTACAGGTGTAGAATTAGGAGAGAGATGATGATGACCTCTATGCATACACTAAAACTAGCTAGCCTCCTTTTAAAATAACGGAAAATTTAATTTAAAAAAAAAACGAAATATGTTTTAATCCATAGAGATTAAGGCTTTTAACACTGCTGAGTTTAGCGGCCATTATTTTCTTTTTCGATGTTTTAGAACTATTTTTAATTTCCACTATGAAAAGTGGAGGTGGGTATTTAATCACCGAGGGAGGCAGGGGGATTTTAAATTGTAAAAAATAAGTCATATAGTTCAATACTTTTCTAAAGTACAATTACAAAAAGCATCTACTATGGGGAGTGATCTAAAGAATTCATTACAATGATTCTTGCGAGTTTCGTAAGGCAAAGAATATGCAATTTCTCTGGTATTGTAGATCACATTATTGTTCCCGCTGCTCCTTTGCTGTCTCTTACGCTAATATTATAAAGAGGAAAGATTTGTATTTTTGTATGTATTGAAATAACTTAAAACTACAGGGCCGATTTCAATTTCTCTCGCCATTAGAAAGCCACGTTATCAGTGCGTAACATAGGCTATTTTTATTATTTTTTTTTAATTTCACGCAATCGAAGTCGTCTAATAAAACAACCTTATTACCTTGCACGTAATATTTGTTGTTTGAAAAGTGCATTGTTTATTTTATAAAAAGTTCAATGTTCTGTATTGTATTACAACGCATTAGTTAAATGCAAATGACATTGTTGTTTACAGTAGTTTTCCATATTATTAAGAAAAATATATCAGAAAATTTATTCAAAGACACGATCTGAAAGATTTTCTATGCATCTAATAGTTCAAATATTGTCAAGCGTTATGCAAATGTAAAAAAAATGCAATTTTAAATTGTTTAAAAAAAACTAAAAACTCTCAATTCTTTTATGAGATTAATAGTTATTACATATTTAAAAGACGTGGATAATTTCTAAAAAAAAAACAATTTAGAGGTTAAGTGTGTTTAAAGTAATTTAATCAAACGTCGAAATATAATTTCTAATGGGCCCAAACATCTAAGTTGACCTCTAAGTTAACCTATAGACACAAGCTACTATTTCTTACAGCAATCTTTACTTTGATAGTGTCCGTAAAAACGAAACAATTGAGGTAAAAAAGGAAAGCAATAAAATCCTTAAACAAGCACTCTCCGATGCGGTCTAGATAAGTATTATTGGACACGAACTTGAAGTACTAAAACGTTAATAAAGTTGACACATAAATAAAACATTGACTAGATACTGCAATATGAATAGAGATTTTAAGATAATTGGAAATAAGGTAGTCTTAAAACAGAAGACAACTTGATATTATACTTGCGTAATAAACAAAAAATGAAGTTATATTGATGGAGATGACAAAACCCCTTTTTAAAAAAAATGAACAAAAATCATAGTTTAATGTTACATATTACAAACACATCTGACATGGTAGTCACATTAATAAAATAATGAATTTATTAAATTACATATGTAGTTCAACCGAAGAAGCTTCCAATTTATTAACGAGCTGTTTACAATCATAAAATGTAAGAGACGGTGGCGCATTTATCGCTTTTATTGACTCTAAACGTCGCGTCGTACCAAATAGAGAACCTTCCACAACATATATTAGCGAATTTTATCCATGTTACGTAAATTTTGTTTGTTTTTGACAACTAACTCGGGTAGAGGATATACGATAACAACGGTCGTACCAGTCTTACATCTTCAGTAATCCTTTGAAAAACATTTTGTGACATAATAAAAATGCCATTCTAATTCGCGTTTTATAATTTTAAAGAAAATTATATACAAAATCCCACCTTCGTATACGCTGTTATCTTTTATTTGACGACAAGTGGCTTTAATATGACAGAGAGACTACTTTGACTAAAACAAACAGAAGTAAAATAAACTCATTTATCTACAATCCGTAAATAACCACGCCTCATAATTAAATAGTTAGAAACATTACAACGTATGTATAAATTAGATATGCAATTAATATAGTAATTATATTTTGTTGCAGTATGCTTGAGGAAGATTTGAAGACAGAAAGAGTAGAGTTCCTTGGACGATACGCAAATACTCCCGCAGACCGCCGATGTTTGTTCTGGAAGTCTTATCACTTGATAAGTTAGAACACAAGCCTCGCGCAAACAACCTTATCATGGTAACATTCTTACTGGAGACACAAAACTACTCCACAGAAACCATTCCAATCAGGCGTGACGCACGGAATACCTGAATTAAAAATTAAGCAGTGTTCTCAAACGTAGTCATGGAGGAAATTTTGTTAGTGCATAACATCAATTAGTTATATTTATAAAACTTCAGTGCAAGTGAATCTATGCCAAAGAACGCACCAAATTTTATATCATATACTAGTCAAATAATATCTTCAAACTGGAGGACTTACAAACTTTGGAAGGCGCAGAGACCGTCGTCGAGAATGCGAGCGCCAGGGCACAGGAATGCTTGGAGCAGAACCTCAATCTTTCGGAGAACTTCTGTCCAGCGTACTACGATGGACTTCTGTGCTGGGACCCCACGCCCTGGTACACTCTGGCCGTGCAAAAGTGTTTTAGTGAATTTCACGGCGTCCAATATGATGATACGCGTAAGTAAATATTTTTGTATTGATAAATCCTAAGGTGGTTTGGAGGTCTTTTTAATGTGGATTTAAAGTGAAATTTAACAAGCATCGTCATTCAAATAAATCGTACCATGATAACATATTTCTATCTTGCTTTATATAAAAGTAAAGTCACGGTAAATTAAAAATTTCCTTTAGGCAATTAGTGTTTTCAAATTAGGAAATATTATAGTAAATATAGCAATATCAAATCCATCTACCAAATGTTGTGAGAAAATCCTACTGTTACGTAAGAAATGAAATTTAACTATGACATTTGGTTTTTGTATTAAATTACGATGTTATTGGTTACCGGTATTCGATTTTAGTCACAAATTGATAAAAAACGTATTTTTAAAACATACTACTACTTTTACAACATCTACTTTCTTATTGCCTTTATTAAGTTGCCTTATGAAAAACTAAAGATAAACCTTTCGGTTCAAACAAACAAGAATATAGATACCTACAGCACTGATTTTTAATTTTAAAACTTTTGTTTTTCCACAACAGCAAGTTTTGTTTTCATAATAATGAATAATTTATCACTGTCACCGCAATCAAGTGTTATTTTTGCCGCTAAAAGTTTTTTGTTTGGGTTTTATTTTTTTGAATCGTATTTTATAGCGACTGTGTTCAAAACAAGTCTACGGCTTTTGTTATGAATCATTTCACGTCACTGGGCAACCTTCACAACAAAGTTGTAATAAACTTAAGTGAGGGCTTTTCTTCGTTTTATGATAAAATTATTCAGTTTATAGCCGCGCTAATCCGCTCATTAAATATTATAAATCGCACCAGTTTTAAAGACACTAAAAATAAAAAATTAAAGTAAAATATAGAAGATATAATACTTGATAAATATAACATAGAGATGTTCAATAGATCGTAAGGATTATCAAAGCAATTCAGTTATATCTAAAAGGTTATCGCTACAAGAGTAAAAGTGAAACAAATGTTAGACACTTATTGCACTAAGCTTGGCAAGAATCCCGGCTGTACAATAAACGAGACGCTCACAGAAATACCAGCTTAATGGAAAAAGGGTCTTAGTATAATCCGTGGCCGTTCATTCCGCATTCACAGAGAACGCGTCGCGCCTCTGCCTGGACGGCATGTGGCACAATTACTCGGACTACGTCAACTGCACGGAGCGCATCGCTAACGTGTCCCCCACAGATGTGGCTAGTCTCATCTACCTCGCTGGCTACTCCCTCAGCTTAGCCGTACTCTCGCTTGCCGTCTTTGTATTTCTCTATTTTAAGTAAGTACATATTAACACATCTATTCATATACTTCTAACGGCATATCACTTTTCAAAGAATTTAGGGGGCTACTGAATTTTAAATATTTTTAATTAGACTGCCCATTTATTTTTGCTAATCTAAAGTACTAAGTGTTGCTCGAGATTTGGTCCACGAGAAATTTTAAAATACAGGATATGTTCCTCAGTAATAACGTAGCTTTCTAATTGTGGAAGAATTTTTGAAATCGGCAAAATAGTTTTTGAGTAATTTCAATAAATACAAAAATACAAATCTTTCTTCTTTATACTATTGGTATAAACGGAATCTATTGTCCTTTAAAACTCACGTTTTTCTCTTGTATTGTAAGTTTATCTTTGATTTCAGGGATTTAAGATGTCTTAGGAATACTATACATACAAATCTTATGTCTACATATATATTATCAGCTTGCAGTTGGATGTTAAATTTAGCTTTACAGGTACGTAACATTGTATGTATCTACAACATTTATACTTCGTCCGCGTGGAATTAAAAAATAAACCCTATGTTAGTCACAGATAAATTACCTTTCTAACGGTGAAAGAATTTTTAAAATCGGCCCAGTAATTTTTGAGTTATTTCAATACATACAAAAATGTAAAAATACAAATCTTTTTTCTTTAAAATATTAGTATAAATATAGATAATCCACATAAAATTGTTATACATACTAATTATAAACTAAAAATGTATACATTACTTATGTGTATTTGAATCTCATTACGTTTTCCGACTTTGTATTAGACGCGTAATAAAGTAAATCTGTGCGATATGTTAATTCAAAAAGTTTGTAGGTAATTTACATTGAAAAGGGAAATTTACATTTAATTCGGGAACTTTGAAATTCAATAAAAAGATCAGTCAAATCTTACTTTGCAATATATCTCAAATGAAGAAAATCTATACTAATATAATAAAGCGTAAACACACATTACTTTGTTGCCTGAGATGTCAGCAATTACAGCATATTTTCTAATAACTCTTTTTTTAATATAAAGCCCTACACTTACGTCACGCTTTAGGCTATATATTTTCATGCCGTTAAACTTAGGGGTAAATATTTTGGATAAAAACCCTAATGTGGGAAAAAGACCATAAGTTGTTGCCAACATCAAGGAAGCAAAGTTGCCATGGTTTGTCATGTCATGCCATTTTGACATTTGCAATTGATAATTTGACAAATGTGAATAAGATGATTTTTTTATAATTTTTTGCGAATGAAATCGCATGGGAACAGCTAGTTATTAATAAAAAAAGCTAAATTTGGGTTTAAAGCTACAAAGAATTAGTCTAGTGTTAACTTTAGAAGTCATTTTAATGTTAGAAATGTTGAATATTTTTAATATGGAATGTTTACTGTCTTATATGAGGTACAAAAAATAGCACGTACGTTTTATACTATCGGTAAGGGATAATACATTCGAAAAAATGGCTTATTATTTCGAACCCATGTTGTCACATATGGTACCAACTGCTTCAGGAACAAGTCTATGTATGAAACTTTTAGTAATTTGTAAATTTGTTTTAGAATTGGTCAGACGAAGCTCAACAAGACCAAACATCGTGTATGATCCTAGTTATATGCATGCATTATTTCTACCTCACTAATTTCTTCTGGATGCTTGTTGAAGGTAAATAAAATCCAATTATATTGCTTAATGTTATGAATGTGGAAGGGTACACAGGTAGAGGTAGATCTAGAAAGAGATGAATGGACTGTGTGAAAGGTGACATGATCAAGAAAGGAGTGATGACTGAGATGACGGATGACAGAGTTATTTGGAGGACGAAAACCCGGTGCGCTGACCCTACGGGAGTTGGATAAGGCAGGGGAGATGATGATGATGATGGTGATGGTGATGGTGATGATGATGACGATGTTGATGGTGATGGTGATGATGGTGATGATAATGATTGCTTAACATTTCATTATCAAACGTAATTAAGAATGGCTTAACTCACGTTTGATCGTCTGATATTTTTGTTGCTTATTATTTTTCAAGTTTTCAGGTTTAATTAAATTGTTATATATCTTTACTATTTCAGGATTGTACCTTTACATGTTGGTTGTTGAAACATTTACAGCTGAAAATATCAAACTTAAAGTCTACACTACTATAGGTTGGGGTAAGTTAATGAATTTACTAATTAGTAACTACTCTACATATACTTAATTCAAGGACTTTCATATGACCTAAAAACTAAAACCGTACGAGTTAGTCTTAAAAAAGCGATAAAAGAAATTATCACAATTCAGTTTGTAAAGATTATTTGGAGGACACCGAACTCGGTCAAGTCGTAGCACCACGTGTGATACACGCTACATTACGCTTTTTGTTTTAAAATTGTTTGTGGACATCTGCCAGAAGTGCGTAATGTATGCTGCATATCTAAAACTTGTTAAGTCGTAAATGCAAATGTATATTCCATAAATGGAGTAATATTTTATTGATAATTTTACTATTCTACGGTTTATGGAGGGGAAAATTCACTCGTTTAGTTTTATGAATAGTTTTGTTGATTTTACAGCAATTGCGAGAATGTTTTACATGTTATGAATAATAATCTGTTGTCAAACATTTCTAGTATTGGATTTACTATTTCAATAAAAATATGTTGCCAAACAATAACTAATTTGTAACTAATGGATAACAGCAAGGATTTAACTAATTTGTCTATGAATTTTTAGGTGCACCGGCCATATTTATCATAATATGGGTTATTTCGAGGTGCTTCGTAACCGTAGTCCCTTCCACCGGACCTGACGAGGTAAGCTTTACTAATCAATATCCTCCACTTGAAATTATTAAGAAACTATTTAACTGTAAAATACTATAGAGTCATCCTAAAACTATCGTGACATTAGCTTTATGCATTATCTTGTAATTTTTTTACTCTTAAGTCTTACTTCTTACTAATATTATAAATGCAAAAGTTTAGATGGATGGATGGATGGATGTTTGTTAGAGTTTATAGCCTAAACGGGTGTACGAATCTTGATAAAACTTAGCACAGATGTAAAGCTTAGTCTAGTGAACATATAGGCTACTTACTTTTGTTTTTTTTTAATTCCACTCGAAGGGAGCCGCCGGCAAAAGCTAGTGTCGTTATATAAAATGTTATTTGTCCACAGTTAACTATCGCCAGCGATACAAAAATGTGTCTTTGGATTCATGAACATCAAGTGGACTGGATTCACAAAGCTCCAGCCTTGATCGGTTTGGCGTTAAATCTGTTCTTTCTTATAAGGATCATGTGGGTGAGTATTTAACATATGTTAGCAAATTTGCATCCCTTTCATATTTTATTTAGCTTTGAAAACCATAGTAATAATAATAACATTACAATTTTGTAATGTACTGTACACTAAATTTGTACAGCACAGTACAATTCAATCATAAATATGGTAATTGCTTTGAAAAACATATGCAAAAATAATAATTTATGTATAATCAACAGGTTTTGATAACAAAACTGCGATCAGCGAACACATTGGAAACGGAGCAATACAGGAAAGCAACAAAGGCTCTATTAGTTCTGATCCCACTGCTGGGTATTACAAACTTGCTAGTGTTGTGCGGACCTAACGATGATTCGTGGTTCGCGCACGCTTTCGACTACACGCGAGCACTGATGCTATCCACTCAGGTAATGTATTACATGGCTAGTATTCTGTAAAGAACTTGTTCTGTGTACCAAGTTTGGTACTACTTCGTTTAGATTTTTTTGATTTACGTGGTGACAAATATATGTAAAATTTTAAATTATGTTAGTAAGACTGCAAATTAGCATTTAACTAGCTGTCATCATTAACTTGCCCTTATCCCTTACGGAGGGACGGCACAGTATGCTGCTTTGCCATACATCTCTATCAGCCGTCATATATGTCCACTCCGGTCTTAAGCATATACTCTTTCACATATTTCATCCATACTTTCTTCGGTCTTCCTCTACCTTTGTAGCCATGGATGGCTTCATCTTTCTTAACACTTTAACTAGCTGTATAAATTGTAAACTTATCAAACATGTCTTGTATTCTGCTTTCTAATAAGAGTGGTTTGTTTCCAAGTATTCTAAGTTCTCCAAGATCGATATATAATTTCATATTCTCGATAAGTTGCTGTTTACACACAACATTTCTGTACTTAATAACCGCCGTAGGCTAATCAAACTACAAAGGGAACAATTGTACATACAATAATATTATGAAATTTCCAATACGATCTACAGGCAACACCAAAATTGATAATAAATTAATTAATATAATAAAATATTATTTTACAATTATGAATTACTGTTATACTCAAAGTTATTAAATGAATGCCAAAAGTAAAGATTTAATACAAGAAATTTACGCTAAGAGTTCTCAGCCTGACTAAAAAACGACTTTTTAGTTTGATAGAGAAGATTTCTTGTACTACGAGTTGTATACAGAGTTCTAAGATCCTTTAGTGGGTACAGGACAACGGAATTAAGCAAACTCTTTCTTCTAGGGTTTTACAGTAGCTCTGTTCTACTGCTTCATGAACACGGAAGTGCGTCATGCGATCAGGTACCACGTGGAGCGATGGAAGACTGGCCGCACTATCGGTGGCGGCCGGCGTCGAGGCGCATCCTACTCTAAAGACTGGTCACCACGATCCAGAACGGAGAGCATAAGGTATACTATCGTTAGAATGTCGGCTGTTATATTAAACAGAATATGAAGGATAACATTATGTCGAAATCCACAATCATATAGATATATTGCCGAATGAATTGTAATTGGACCAGGTGTTTTGTCAGCAACGTGTGAACGTATCATTGACATTTAAAAATGTTATAATGAGTTACGTAATTTGGCTTTGTTATTGAGTTACGGGATATATAGTTATGTTGAACGTCACATTTAAATGCGATATTATCTTATGAGTAATTGATTAATTTATCAAAGAAAAATAGTTAAGTATGGCTGATTTTTAAGCAACTGTGTAACTGTGTAACAATAATTCATTTGCATATTGCTGAGTTATATACAGATTAAAAAGTTGATCTAGCGGTATTAAATATAACCTAAAAGGTAGAGCATTTACTAGAACTACTAGTAGTTAACGATTAGATCGTATTAATAATTATTTGCTTGATAAAATTATTTTCAACATCATTTACAAATCCCTGCTTTTTTATAAAAATAAATCATGCATTGCATGCATCATTTCCTTGCATGTTAATTACCTTAATAACGGGTTTATATTTAATGATAAAATCTATAATGTTCTAATCAAAATTGTTGTTCACAAAATATTTCTTAATATTTCGTGACTGGTGAGAAACATGAGAAGCTATTAACAATTTTTTTCTTTACCTCGAATAGGTCATAATGAAGTTTAATCAAGTTAAAAAATCTAGATTTCGTAGATTAAAAAGAGACCCTTTTTATTAACTGTATTTCAAATAGATACGAGATTGTAACATCAATAGAAATTGCCTAAATTATGTTAAATTGACTATTATTAATTACTAGCTGTTCCAGTGCGACTTCATCCGCATGAAATTATGAAAATTTTATTTTATTGTTTACATTTGTCAAATTATCAATTACAAATGTCAAAATGACGACATGATGACAACTTTGCTTCCTTGATATTGGCAGCAACTTATGGTCTCTTTCCCACATTAGGTTTTATATCCAAAATATTTACCCCCTAAGTTCAACAAAGTTGTAAGATTGTGCCATGGTTTGTTTTACGACAATATTTGAATGTCGAGAATCGAACTTACAACCACGTTTCTTGTTTGAAACCTTTAACCAATCGGCTATCGGCGCTTCAAAAATATATTTTGATTATGTTTTATTTCTGTTAGGCTCACTGTTTGAAGAACTAAGAAGACATGATACCGGATAGTTCGTGGGTCAAACTATTAAATGAAGAAATTAAAGCGCTCGGAATTAATGTGGATTTGGATGAAAAAAATATTTTTTATTTTGTCATATCTTCTTTTAAATAAATCGATGTTTTATCCGCTTTTCTGTGATTTTTTTCAATAATTATGTGTTTATTTTTATCTTAAAATGGTTGGGTTTGTCATTATTATTGTTTGCACAATGTTCAGTAGTGATAGAATTTTGTATGCATGTAGCTTTGTTAATAAATATTAAAATAACAAAAATAATGTTTAATACTAGGTGCATGTTATAATATTAGGAAGCACATTAAGGGGTTAAGTTTGCTTGTCATTAGATTTGATGTTTAATGCAAAAATTAAAAATAAATTAACAAATTTCTTTAACAATATATCTTTAACTTTAGTGTTTAAATTTAAAAGTTTTGTAATTTTTTTTATTTATGGATTTTAGATATAAATTTATTAAAACCTTGTCGTTGAGATTTGAGAAAAATCAATTACGATACCTAAATTGTAAAATAAGTTTGACGAACTTTATGGCTCTTGTTTCAAAGAAAAAAAGTTTACATTAAAAAAATATTATAAATACAATAAAAATGTCTTACCATATGACTAGTTCCTACTCCTACATCATTCCAACTTCAATAGATGTTGACGCAAAGTCATGGAACAGGTTATACAGTCACCCTTCGAAGCGAGAGTCTGCAGCATCAGAGACAACTACAACGACCCTACTGGTGCCCAGGACATCACTAGCACCGCACCACGATGGCAGACATCTGCACGCTGTAAGTACTAAAATTGTACGTACTACGCACAACAAGACAGACAATTCTCGTTAAGCTTAACATTCATTAGAGCCCTTACACAGTCCGGAACAGAGCAGAACAAATTTTTAAACATAATAAATTGTTTTTTTTTTGAGATTTAAATCTACTTTACATATCTTCATCAAACATATCAAAGATGTGCCAGTAAATTAGCCATGTTTCAATCGTTTTTTGATGAATTTTACTTGCAATAAATCTACGTTACTGTCCGGTGTGTGTGAACGGACCCTTACACATACCGGAACCGCGCTTACAACAATCGCGGTATGATGTTCATTTCATTTATGACCTCGATAAAAGTAGCTTAAAGTAGTAGACTATTATATTATGTGCAGATTTTTAGCAACAGATAGTTAAATAAAAAATCGTTCACAGTACATTTTCTGTTCGCTGGGCAGGCATTTTCAAGTGATAGGTTCCCAATACGATAATGGAGGTGGACCATTAAAAACGATTTGAACCTTTTCCTAATGTCGACGGGCCTTCGTCCTTGATGGACGGAATTGAAAATACTTGCGGCTGTCCCTTCCTCGGAAGTAAAATTGTTAAAAAAAACTCGAAGAAAATTTAACCGCTAACGTAAAACGTTATTAAAACCTACCAACTAAAGTACACTGAGGATAAAACACCTTAATTATAATTATAATTTGAAATAAATCTATAGCTAAATTAATAAAAACGCAAAACGCTTAACATGCCCCACGTATTGAGTTTCAATTAATGAATCCTTAAGCATTAGAAATCTATATTTACCCTATCGCTGTAGAAAGAACGAAGATACTTTAAACGAACAATGAAAAATAACTATATTATAATATACCAGCATAAGATCAACGCAAATAAAGTTGTTAATTAATTCTCATATCTGATAAAATAATTGGCCACTTAAACTTTGTTCGGTTTCTGTAATTAAAGTTATACATGATATTATATATAGCTTAGTGCTTATGTATTATTACCTTTCGCCCGCGACCCCGTCTGCGTGAAATTAAAAAAAAAAAACAAAAGTGAGTAACCTATGTGTTCTTCTAGACTATCCTATACACCTGTACCAAATTACATCAGAATCTGTTTAGCCCTTTAGGCTACAATCTCTAATAAACATCCATCCATCTAAACTTTCGCATTTATAATATTAGTAAGATATTAACGATATAGCGGCCAAAGTGGATAATGTTAAAATTTATAAAATCTTGTGCGCCGACCCAATGTAGTATAAGGCCAGAGTTATAATGATGAAGAAGAAGATAGTGGCCATATTAATAACAATGTTAAACTATTTGTTGGTGATACAATACTAAACACACAAGTGTTTAAACTAACTAACCCTAATTAGAGGTACCATTCCCGGAGATAGACTCGTGACTTTTAGAGCCGAAACAGCACAGTAGGGAGAGAGTACAGATAGCTTGCATTCTCATCCAACAACGTTCAAACTTTCAAGCTGTTACTTTTGTATGTAGTGTTAGGTTTGCCTTCAGGAGTACATAACGAGCGGCAGCGCAAGCGGCGAGCAGTCACCAGTGTGAGGCGTGGGGCGGGGGAGGCTGCAACGCCTGCGTACACTGCCAGAGGAGGACGACACCCTCGGCCTACCATCCCCCGCCTCCCCCGCAGCCCCCACCACTATCACCTATAACAACCAACTTACAGACTTGAACTGTACAACGCAAGAACTGTCTTATTTTAATCAATCGTCGATGTAAAATAACCTTAAGCGTCTACTCTTGTTCTCACCAACCAAATCACTGATCATGCAAAGAATATCCGAGAGTCTCCACTGTCTAAACACATGTACTGAAACTATTTGTCTTCTCTTTTTTGTTAAAGACAATGAAAGAGATTTTTTTTTAATTCTCGGTTATTACTTGAACTAGGCACTAATTGAATTCAGTAACAAAGATGAATATATGTAATTGTCATGTCTAAGTACATTTAAGTTATATCTGTAGGTATGTAAGTTACAAAACGAAATGCATTTAAGCGTAAGATAAGCATAATATACTTTAAAGATGTTTGTACATATACAATCGAGTTAATATATCTGAATATATCAAGCATTTATCTCATGAGAATGAAAACACACAAACTGCAGTTACTAAAATCTTATTAGATTACAATTAAAACCGTCTAAATCGTGGCCTTGCCTTGTTCCGGGATTATTCTTAAATATTATCCATTTAACATTTTGAAAGCATCTAACAATAGTTCCCTGTCTTCCAAGTAAACGCTTTGAACATAGAAGTCCCCTCAATGGTATACGATCGAGGAATCAATTGAAAGTTAACAAATTGAAGCAGAAATTTCGGAGTAGGGGTCTAACCGAAAATAGTATAATTAACAAGAAAGTTTGAGATCTCTGATCTACTTTAAAAAATAGTTTTTTAAATTCATTCTAAAACGTCATAAGTAGACTCAGCACTAAGTTATTTTAGCTTCAGAAAATGCGATTTCAATGTACCATTTATTCATAAAAGACTTTTATTACCCATATAAATCAAGTTTTTAAATATGCATTTGTAAATATAATTAGTTAATATGACAATCTAGGAGATCATTGTTAAAAACTTAGTCGTAATTTTATTATATTGACCATCTTATGATTGTAAGTAATATATGATACATTTAATGTAAACCATTACGTGTATGAAGCTTTATTTGTATCTTCAAGTACTCTCATTGTGATTGTTATTTTATGCTTCGTATTTGAATCTCTTTATTTTTGCTATTAACTATTGTAAATAGTACTAAAAAGTTATATACTAAAGGATTATAAAATCTGAACTAATCTTACACAATAATATGAGATTTAAATCCTTTGGTAGACGATGGTTGAAATCAACATTCTATCTCAAAACATTTAACTTATCCGCAATATATGTAATAAAATTATTATTTAGTTCAAATTAACCAATCTAAAGATTACTATAGGTACCAACGAAAACATAATAACCCCGTTTTAAACAAATTTAAATAATTTGGTAACTGAACGTTAGAATAATGATTTTAGTTGTTATCTACCGGGATTGTAATAAAATTGAACATCTTCGCTAGCTGTCGCTCTATGTAAAAAAGGTGTGACGAAAAAGGGCGATGCCAGCGAATTCCAGAAGCCTGTCATGTTATTGTCTACGTGTTGTAAATACGTAATTTTGTACCGTTGATTCCTACTTCTGCCAAATATGTAATATATTATAATAGATGTAATGATGTAGTTATCAGAAAATAAATTGGGAAACAATGCGCTGAATGTAACATAAAGTTTTAGCATATCGTAAAGTTTTAAAATTAAATTAATGTGATTTGTTTTCTCAGACAAAAATATAATGTAACTTAAATAATGTATTTATATTAAAATAAAATTGATACATTAACATTAAGATTGATTTTAAGACAAAAAAAAAATTATATGTTATAACTATTTTTATTTAAAATTTCTACCAAATCGAGGAAATGTCAACTTTAATACAAATGTATTAAAAATGTCTTACTTAAAACTTAGTTGTATGTGATTAAAACAGTGTAATATAAACTATTTTAATGTTTTTACGTATGTATGATCTTTGGTTCTTGCTGTAAATGTTCTCAATATTAAGAATCGCTTCACAATTAAGAATGCGGGTAAACGTTAAACTAAGGTATTAATTAGTTGATTAATTATAATTTGATTGTTTATTATGATAGATAATTTATCTAGCTGCTCGTAAATGTACGTAACCACAAATCTTTGTCATCAAATAAATGTTTATATCTTTAATAAAATATCCAAGCTATATATGTCTTTTATTTTCGTATTCATGTAAACCCTTTCTCTCCCCTTAAAAAGACAGAGATAGCAATAGTTTATACAGGCTTTGACTAAAGTTTGAAGTTTTTGCACAAAATTTGATTATATTAAAAACAGGGTTACTACTTTTTCCATTGAACCGTTAACAATGACGTATTAATTTTCCCTTATACTCCATTGAAATTTATGGCACGAAGTAAGCATAAATTAAAATGCCTCGTCACGTTTATTGGTGTTTTGTATTGAAGATGTACCATCATCGCCGATATTCGACAGTCAAATGTTGAATCATTCATCAATTAATGTCATAAACATGCCTACATTTAGAATTTATTTCGGGAAGATTAATCTCTATTCAAAATCAATCGACATTCAATTTAACTTGGCAATTCTAATCATTAGAGTCTAATGGCATTGATCTCGTATTCTAAATGTTAAATGTAAAGAAAAAAATTAAAAACCCGTTAATCTCTGATGGAGATTTACACGTTCTCTAACGAATAAATAAAGTTTTTTTAAATAAAATTTCTTTAACCAACCTCCTTGCTGAGCAAGACACTGGCCAGTTGCCAGTTATGCTAGCAACTGGCCAGTAAAAAGCACTAATTTTATTTTCATTTTTTGTAGTGTATTCGATTCTTTGATAATGAATTATGTAGCTGTAAGTTAATTCCAAAATAAAGCAGAATTTCAAATAATCATTATCAAAGAGGCAAAGCTTAGTTTACAGAGAAATTGAGTTGGAAAACGTTTCCAGTTTAGATATTGGGATTATATTATCATCTCAGCTTAATACCAATAGCAGCTCACAGCAGATTATGCTTCTAATTTGTAGGATTAAAACGTAACGGTAATTTGAAACATCGTGCTATTCAGTAGCCAATAATAATATAATTTTAATTGACATTAAAAACCCCTAATATGTTTATCCAAAAGGAGTAGTTAGAACAGAAGACAGAGTTAATAATCGCGTTGGTAAAAAATCCTCTGGGTTTATATTGTTTTCATGATGTTGTTTAATAATTTTGAAATGTCCTATATCATACTTCATACTAATATTAAAAAAAGCAAAAGTTTAGATGGATGGATAGATTACGATGAAATTTGGTATAGATGTAGAAGACCGTCTAGAAGTATACATAGGCTACTCACTTTTGTTTTTTTAATTCCAAGCGGACGGAGTAAGGGCAAAAGCTAGTTTAAAATCTTTCAACTTTATTAACTATGAATAACTGTGAAAAACTTTGAAATAAATAAAACTATATTAACCTTGAAAACTTCAACCTGTTTGATAAACACTTATGTAGACCTCGCTTTTGAGTATTACTTGGAACTGTTACATACGATGTTGTCAAGACGAAAAACTTTTTAGTAACTTATATTGAGGTAGAGAACTGATACTTCGATAGATGGAACTTCTTTTGAGATTCAATATATTTGACCTTTATTACATTTGTGACTGGTTAAAATGATTAGAGTAGATTTGAACAAGTTTTTCCCATTAAAGCCATGTCGTGAAATGATGTTTTATTTATAAATAGATTTTAATACTTAGGGTTACCTAAATGAAGTCTTAGTGCATATTTTTCTCACTAACTGAATATTCTGACTCCTATCGAACCTTTTTTGTCCCTCCCATTGATCCTCGAAGAGCTATAATTAGTAAATTGCTTGTAGAATTTAAAAAACATTGTGTTTCTGTTGAAAAGCAAAAATTTAAACCTATTATCTACCTTTGTTCGTCTGAAACTAGATTCCCTGCATTCTTTGTTACCGAACGGGCGTCGGCTTTTCATTTTGTCGAAGGTTTTTTATTGTTTGATTTCTAACACAAGTGTTTTATTTTTATTACAAAACATATGTATCTATTTTATCAGTAGTCATGTGGAGATATTCAATACTATTTTGACCGATTTTCCAAAAAAAGAAGATACTCAATTCGTCTGTATGTTTTTATCTATAAGTATGTTTTGGTTTTAAAAAAATAATAATAATAATAATAAAAATATAATCACCCTGTTTTTTTTTTTAAAAAATTGAAATGTCAAAGTAGTCATTTAAAAGAAACATTGTAATGTATCTATTGTAATGTATGTAATTATGAAGTTGCTGGAAATAAAAGGCTTTTTTATTTTTATTTTTATTTATTTTATATGTTTTGGTTTAGTCACAATTAATATATAACTTCTAGGCATCAATTATTGTGTAATTTCTATTACAACTTAACTATATTAAAAATGGTATTTATTTGTCTTAGAATGTGGGTGGTATCACACCGTATGTGGGAGACAACTTAACCCATTAGTTTCAAATCTAAATTACTTTACATACAACGAACATTAGCATCTTTTCACAGTATACATATGTATAGATGATAGATCGTGTTCAAGATTTATGCGACCACAATACTAATGAAACGGGAAGCCCCATTGTAAGTGATTCCACTAGTTAATCCACTTATAGATTAAATTATTAATTGGCAACGTAGCTACCTATAGTTATTATAGATTGATAGTGATTATAGATAGCTTAAAGTTAGCAATATGCAAAGACTAGCTATCGCCCAGACTCCCCCCGGGTGGAATTAAAAAAAACTAAAAAGTAGTCTGTGTTCTTCCAGACTATCCTCTATATATAAGCCAAATTTCATCAAGAACCGTTCAGCAGTTTAGACTACAAACTCTAACAAACATCCATCCATCCATCCATCCATCCATCCATCCATCCATCCATCCATCCATCTAATCATTTATAATATTAGTAAGATCAGTAACATTATTATCAATACTAAAACGACCTTCACTGTCTAAAAGTCGAATACTGAAATAATAGCTGAATACTTTTTTTTATGAGTTATGAGTACAATTTTTTCCTAATGGCCGTATTCTGAAACGAATTTCAGACACTTCGCATTTTCGGAATTTAGAGTTAAACCGTTATTTTATCTTTAAAGATGCTGTTAGATATTTAAATGTCGTTTCAGTATACGGCCGTGGAAGTTTTAGGGTCTGTCCCACCATTGGCTGATAGAAGCTGAGATAGCTTAAAAATGACAACTCTGTCAGATAAGGTAACAAAATCCGATATTTCCATCACTAAAATATAAAAATACAAGTAAACGAACATGTGATGATAAGTTATGCTTTATGCAAAACCATTCTATTCTATTATTCACAGAAATCTATTATTAATAGAAATATTATAAAAACTAAAGCTATTTAAACTAAAACATATTGTAACAATATAAACATTTTTGTATCTACCTTAGATCGTAGGAAAATTTCTTAAAAGGCATTTTTCAAACATTTCCCCCGCACCATACCGCGCCCTCTTACTTTGTTAAAACCAGTGCCGACTGCACCTCACAGCCGTCGTATAAATCAATAAGCTATTCCATTACCCATTGTCGGCAATACTAAACTCCGTAAATAGGAAAACTTTTGTAGCGGCACAATTTTTTGTTCTGGAAGCTTTACAAATTGAAGCCGATTTTTCATGTACTTAATCGGTTTTGTTTTTCAAACACCCTTAGTTTATGATGATAAATAGAATCGAAATGAAATAAATTAGAGGCTTCTAGAAAAATATATCCTTCTGTGATTTCCCTCTTCCGTCGATTGAAGATGGGCAGCGGTCGCTTTGCTATAAAGACGCCTTGCTAATACCGTCTAAAATCAACTGCTTCGATTGATTTATTTGATAACTGGTAGTTTTTAGTCGAGTTGTTAGATTTCTCTAATTAAATGAAACATTGAAGTAGTCGTTGTAACTAATATAAATTTTTGAATAAATTAGTTAAATTCGTACCACGCAAAGTTTGAATCCAACCTTGTACTGCC